TTGGAATTCTCGGAAAATATGTAGAGATAGTATTTTTGTTAATTGATATAAATATAATAGGCTGTCGAAACATTGAAAGAGAAGCGGTCACAAAAAACCCATAATCTATCATTCAGATATAAGACTTAACAGATTGAATGTTGAGTGTTGCTATTTTTAGAACTATATAGATATATTGATGAATGCTCATTTGTTAACATTTGTATTGAACATGTTGAAGAAAAGGTATATGTACGGGTCATAAATATATATTGAATTGCATAAGGTATATTAAAATACTATATATTAAGTACTCAGCAATAACTGAAAATACAGTAACGGATAATCAAACGCACGACATTTGAGTATAATAGCAAGTGTAAAAAGGACATGACGGACAAGGGTAGCCTCAGAATAAACTCTTCAAGGAAGGGATGACAATAAGGGCAGGTATGTTTCTTACTCACTTACTTACTAAAGCATTCCCTCTACCCTTACATTGTACGAAAGGAACAAGACACAAATATGACGTTATAATGTAACGTCATGTGAAAATGTAAACGGGCTTTCAGGCCCCCTTTAGCATATTTTTCTTATAACTGATTCAGTGTCTTTTTTAAACAATTGACTACTAGTAATCAGAAAACAACTTCTACTTTTAAGAGTTTAGATAAAATAATTATGCAGTGAGAAATTAAATCTATATTGAGACAATTGAGAATCAAAATAATTTAAGAAATTGGTAAAAGTAGCATTTACATATAAGTTCACTTATCTTACAAAATTAGTTGTTCCATGCAGATTTGGACTCTCAAAAGAAAAATATACCTCTTTAAGACTGACCATTGTTGCAGAGGTCTATTTATAGATTGATAAATATATTATTTAAATGAGCAGATTCGATAAACCTCTGAGGAGGCCCTTATTTCTAGCTTAAATTTTAAATAATGATTTATTGACCAACATCAACATTAATCACAGCTCAACCAAGACTAACGTGAGATTATCCAAATTGGATGGATCTCTATGAAATTTTACTTCAAGGTTCTGCACCACAAAAGGAAGGTTGGGATCGATTGTGGGGTAAATGTCTTAGGAATAATTAAGGTACAAAAGTGGCCAACAATAAGAATTTTGATGTTTCAGGACAATAACATGTGTATAAGTGTATGGATCCCAATGAAATGGTACCACCAGTTACAATACCTCCAAAGGATGGTTGGGATTGATTTAAGAGGTTATGGCTCTAACTGGTCAGGAAAAAGTAGAATCACAAAAATATTGAACTCCGAACAAAATTAAAAAAGGAAAGTCCCTAATCAAATGGCAAAACCAAAAGCTCAAACACATCAAACGAATGGATAACAACTGTCATATTCCTGACTTGGTACAGGCATTTTCTCATGAAGAAAATGACTGGTTTAAACCTAGCTAAACCTCACACTTGTATGACAATCGCATCAATTTTTTAACCGGATTTTCGAAGTAAATATCGGTTATTAATTTGGGGATGTACGGCGGGCGGGCGGGCAGACGGGCGGGCTTGCGAGCAGGCGGGCAGGCGGCTGCCAAACAGTGTCTCCACCATAACATGAAAACGCTTTGACAATTTTTTTCAAGATTTTAGTATTTCTCCTTTTTGAGTTGTCGCCATTTTTAATATCCAAAAGTGGTATTTTTAAATATTTTTCTCTTGTTGTCATATTATGACTAAGGTAAAGTATATGGTAAATGTCTTATCTCACAATTATAATTGAAGTGACAGATTTATTTGAAAATTTTCTATTTCCTAAGTGGTGATGATTATAAGCTATAGTATTAGACATTTTGAAGTTAATTACATTACTAATAATTTTATGGTGTGTTTGTTATTCTGTAAAAACTAATTTTCTGAGTGATATATGTATATAATTGTTTTGTTGTGTATGTTAATTTTAATTTATACTTGATCATGTTTGGGGTTCCAGATATAAAAATTCAATAGATAATAATCTATTATTTATAAGTTAAAAAGTTAAAATAAGATTAGATAAGTTGCAGATCTATATTAGTATGTTACAAATGAACGAAAAAATATTGGGAACTATCAGCTATATATATAAAGTTTGATTTTGATTTCTACACTAAGTGATAAGATAATCCACATCTGTTAATTTCCAATGCAATCATCCAATTATAATTGAAGTGACAGATTTATTAGAAAACTATTATTTATATCTGATATAATTTAAAATAAATATAACATCATATCTTTTTAAGTCATATCTAATTTTAGAGTCTATGGTGAAATTATATTTAATTTTAGATTTATATTATTGGTTCATGGAAATAAAGTTTGATTTATTTCCATTTGAACAAAACTGATTTAACTTAGAAGTATTTCATCAAAAATTGAACTATTGGGGTTCTTTGATACTGTGAATTCATTTATTTTCGTGGGTATCAATTTTCGTGGATTGCTGAAAACTTGCATATTCGTGGTTATTTGATTTCGTGGTTTTGCCAATCTCTGTATACAAAGCCTATTGAAAATATGTTATTCGTTGAACATTTGAATTTGTGGTTCACCTGTGCACACGAAACCCACGAAAATTGGTATCCAACGAATAATAATGAATCCACAGTATGCTGATTCTAGCAATGTACTTATAATTTGGATATTGGACCATAATAGGTAAATGTTTAATTTCAAATTTTTCAGTTCTTTGAACACATTTAGTTTGTGTCACAAACCAATGCTGTATCAAATATTCAATCACAATCAAAATTCAGAGCTGTTTTAAGCTTAAATGTTGTGTCCATACTTGCTCATCTGTTCAGGGTTCAACCTCTGCAGGAAAATCTGGTTTGCTGTCTCTCTGACAGCCTCTTGTTTTACATATAAGTAAAATTATCATTTAGTTTCATCCAAACTTATCTAAATACGTGATTGTAAATAATTTAAGCATGTCAATAGTTCAGTTTGCTCCGTTCTTTTACGTCAATGTAATAGTGCGTTTATTTACGGGAAAGGCAGCTTTTTTGCCTTCACCAAGAGCACTTCGATCCAAAAGAATTACCGTATTTGTCCTATAAGAATAGAATAATTCATGGGGGCTTGAATTTATACTGGCTTTACAACGGGTTTTCCCTTTTTTCCGCTTGTGGTAAAATATTTAGCATAAATGGCAAACCCATGGTCAAATCAGTATAAATTTAAGTCACCATGAATTATTTCTTAAATATCGAGATTCCACATAAAACGGTTTTCTGGATTCCCACTTTCTATAGACTGTATAAGTTCAAGCCAGACCACAAACCGTTTTTACGTGTTTTTAAGGATTGGTTCAGACATTGTGAGAACTAGTTTGGAGTGACTGAAGCGTAACATCCCTATGCAACAAATGTAGTTGTATATATATATATAATTATATGCATTTCATTGAATGATGCAATATTAAAAGCTATTTACTAGTAATAGTTTAATTAATGTGATACTGATATACATTTGTCCATCGCCTTACTGTGTGTCAGCGTTGTCGTCCGTCTTATGAATGTGTCATCGCATTTTTTCAGGAACCTCATTGCAGAGTTCACTGACATTTTATATCGTGCCTTAAGTGAACATGTTAAATTGAATAATACAGGTTTAGATTCATCGCTCATCAACGTTCTAGTTACCGAATACATTAATATTCTTACACATAAATTTTCAATTCTATGTAACAACATTTAAGCAATGTCTGCAAATGGAGTATTTATCTCCCAGTGGTCTTTTGTAGACGAAACGCGCGTCTGGCGTAAATATAATTTTTTTATCCTGGTATCTATGATGAGTTTATTGATACGATAACCCAGAGCTTGTATTTCCTATCATTGATAGATAGTTGTTGCTGCAAGGATTTTTTTAAAGGCAAAGTTCGAAGGGTTATAATAACCCAGCAAACATAAAAAACATCTTTAAAATGTTTTTAAAATGTTGTGTCTAATGTCATGAAAATATCACAAAAAAAACGTGAGAAAAACATTAAATGTATGGTAGAATATATATCGCTAAAACGTTTTCTAATATATTTTCTAAAATATTTGCATAATATAATTAAAATGTTGTAAAGAAATATCATGATAATGTGAAAAACAATGGCGTATAAAACATTTTGATAATCTTTTAAAAAATATTTTCTAGAAATATTTTCTGAACGTTTGAAAAACATCATGAACATCAAATAATGTTATAGAAATGTTTTTTGGATGTTTTCTTGCAAGTGAGACTGTGCCTAAAAAATGTTTTCAAAATGTTTAAGCAGATGTTTTTGGTTGATATCTAGATCATATCAATATAAAAATTTCTGTACTTCTGATTGAGTTTCCTGCTTTTTTAAATAACAAATCATTAGTTAAATTATTTATACACAGTGATTAATTCTATATACAAACAAGAATAAATCAGTTGTTTTGCTAAGCATATGAAATTCACAATTCAAAGTCTCTAAAAACAAGAAGTATCTACAAATGTTGACACATCCAAAATGGCAGACACAACTCATCATGGTCAAGCCACTTACCAAATATGAAGTCATTCTGTTCATCAGCATTACTAATTAAAGTAATGAAAAATTTGAGAACATTCAACATTAAATATCACCTCATCTTGATCAGCAGTTTTGGGAAAAACAGTGATGAAAATATTTGTTGGACAAAATCCGACAAATATAGGTGGACAGACGACAGACAGTGCAAGAAAGCCCACATTCTAACCACAATGGTATAATTTTTAGTTTTTCACTCTCAACTTTTATTACCTATCTTATACACATCATGCATATGTCAACCTGAACATGCATGACATATATGCCATTGGACATTATGCAAACATTATCCACATTTTTAAGTTCAAGTTACATTGACTAAAACTTGTGTCCCAAATTCAGATTTTTCAATACAACTTCTCTTTCTAAACTAAAACGCTACACTTCTAATAGGGTTAAATCTTCAGTCAATAATCATTGATAATTGGCTGAAGAGATGAGAACAAAACACCATTTTACATCAACTATTTGATTTATTTAAGAATACATTGAAAAAGTCAATCAATTGTCTTATTCAAAATCACTTGGAATGTCTTGTAGTGTCTTATATCTTTTTCTTGCTGTGCCATGCTTCTGAAAAAAAAATTAATCTTACATTCATATATAAACTTCTTGCACATTCCTTTATTATAGAACGATTCACGTTGCCTGAAGGATATACATCCCCTCCCCTTTAAAGTTTTGAAACAAATAACGATGATAGTCTGTCGGAAGGGGACGATAAATGACTGACCGTGTTAAGAGAGAGCAATATGCCACGCTGAACTTCATTAAGTTATTAAAAAAAAAAACACATAAAAAACTTTAGACTAGATATGTGTCCAGTCAAGAGTCTTATTTCATTATACTCGTTGATTGTTGTCTATCATAATTTTTTTCTTTTATTGTTTTGTATAAATCAGGCTGTTGTTTTTCTTGTTTTTTTTTAGTTTTCATTAAATGCATTGTATCATGTAGGGGCCTTTAAAAGCCCTGCTACATAATGTCATTAAACATCTTATTGTCATTTTTAAGTGTTAAACTCTGTAGAGTGACATAGTTTATAACTTGTCATTTGTATCTAAGGGCATATGATACAGTCCTAGAAGTATACTATAGGCACATAATAACTTATCGAAGTGTTAAGCATTGTTTTCACAATGATGATAATAATATAACTTAACTTCCGAGAAACACACAGATGTCATTAAATGAGTTGTTTATATGTATTTGAAATACTTCAAAGGAAAGCAAATATGTTGTTTATGAAAGCACACTGTTGGACTAAAAGATTGATTTAAATAAACAACTTGTTTCTATTTTGTCACAAAAAAAATTATTTATTCAAATATCCAGATATCTTTTCTGTATTGTATGCCCTTAATCTTGAATGTAATGCATTGTTTATGCTAAATATTTGAATTAAATATGGAATAACAGTAATTCTGTATGAAAATCTTACTTCAAAAAAAAAATTCTCCTGAAAGGTTGTAGACATTCCAAAGAACCTGCGCCACTTCCAAATTGTAAACCTGCATATTGAACTTGTCCTTTGTGGCTTTTCTTTTAGCTCCTGTTAAAAAATAAAAGATACATTGTATGTACATTGTGTGTATGAAGCAATAAATATAATTTTAAGCAACAGTTTATATTATCTTGCTTGTACTGAAGTCTTACATAGTCTTTGTAATGTTCATTAAGCTGTTAAGGGAAATTTAATTTACTGTTTTGCAAATACATACATACACTGATTTTACTAGAAAAAAAAATCTCCATATTCAAATGGTGCTTATATTAGTGTTATTGTAACTTGTTTGTGTGCCTCGGAAACAAGGTATTGAGTCATGCTTATTGCAATAGTTGTTGTTGGTTTAAGTCTGTCAAATTTTTTCATAATGTGTATTTAATGTAGGCAGTTAGTTGTTTTGTTTCAATTGTGTTGAGAAAAGTTTAACATTTGTTTGTCAAGGCTTCAAAGTGGACTATATGGCATTGGTTTTCTCAGTTTTGAAAGCTGTACAGTGACCTATAATTTCTTTTATCCAAGTCATTTAAATTCTAGTGGATAGCTGTCTCATACACCTTATCGCTATTTCAGTATTTGGAAATTTGTCCCGCTTGAACTTTTTACGTCAGCATACGTCATACAATAATACACCTTATCGCTATTCCCGCTTGATCCGAGAATCTATCCTGCTTGAACTTTTGACGTCAAACAACAATCACTTTTCCATTGTGGCATCAGATATTTTTTATGATGACGTCAAAATTTTAAGGAAACTTGTGACAGTTGTGTGATGTGCAGTAATGGCGGACAAATAGCGATAAGGTGTATTACTTTCAATTGTGGTGTCAAATATTTTCTAATATGACGTCAACATTTTATGGGAACTTTTGTGATGTCCATGGCCAGTAATGGCGGACAAATAGCGATAAGGTGTATTGGCAATCAAACACACAAGCCACATATCCTTATAATTTTTTTATATCAATGAACAAATTCATAATTGGTGTACGTAGATGCTTGAACAGTGGCGGATTTAGGGGCCCCGACCCCCTTATGGAGCTACTTATAAGATAAATGTATAGACTATTTGCAAGTATCACTCCAAACGTTTGCTTGCCTTGGGCAGGGGGCCCCCTTTTTTCAAAACCCTGATCCGCACCTCCAGAAACAGATGTAATTTGGTTCCGATTATGATTGAACACACACGATGAATGCACAAGTTCATCTTAACAGATTAATCATTCTTACCAAGTGAGTATATATCGCGTAACAAACAATTTTCTTGGCTCTCTTTGTTGACATCCTGTCTTCGTTTCGAAATTCAAATTTCAAAATCATTTCCGGTGATAAAACAAAAGTCGATTCCGGAAAAGGTCGGTTTTCCGTAAGACATTTAAACGATACGAAAATTGAACTTAGTACAGTTACAGTTTTCATTTCTTAATTTCTAAAATATACACGAACGAAATGAATAAACATTAAACAAAAAAGGTGATTGTTTATTAATACATTATTGCGTAATTTAATGTTGACTCTTTTGAATTTTAAAATAAGAAGGAATACAATCTGACTTCAAGGATCTTCAAGATATCAATTAAGGATTTCAACCATAGTATCTTGCTTGTCATGATATTGATGAAATGTAGTACTATATCTTATCCTGAAAAAAACGAGCTAATTCCACAAAACGTTGTGTGTGGGGTTTTGAATAAAGTTTAAATAAAATGTTATTTTTATATCCGTAAAATGTTGAATAAAATATCAGTAAGACTATTAAGTAATGTGTATGTCAGAATATTTTATAGAAAACATTTAGCTGATATTTTTCAGATGTTTTATGTAAAACATTTTAATTTTACGTTATAAAACATTTTATGCAAATAGCAAAACTATATTTTCTGTAAAACATTTTTTTGCAGAATGTTTTTTGGATATTTGGAAAATATTTACTTTAAATGTTCTTAAAATATAAAATACCAATTGAAGAAAATATTATTTTTTTATATTATAAAATATCTACGGGATATTTTAGAACAATGTTTGAGAACATGAATAAAAGATATTAGCAAATAATATTTTGTTAATGTTGTAAAAACATTTTACTTAAATGTTAGAAATAAAACATTTCAAAAACAATAAAATAAACATTTTTTTTTATGTTTAAATGATATCTTATTGAAATATTTTGTGAGAGACGTCCATATGACATTTAAAAAATGTTTTTAAAATGTTGTGTGTTTGCTGGGAAGTTACAATTATTCATTTCCAAATTTTTCGGACGCCATCACGAGTTGGTTGACCACCAAGGGTTACCTGTTTCAAAGATGACGACTGATATGCTCCAATTGAAGTAATTACATTTCCGTCCTCTCTTCCTTTAATGTGACCTACCGAATTTTATTTATCATCGATTGTGTAGCAGCATGATCTGCCAATCCTTCAGGACGGGAGCACATGTGATCATCCCGATTTTTTGACGGGTTTTAGTTACATAGTCTTTAGTATTAAATGCTATGTTTTCGTACGTTGTTTGTCTTTAGGTCGTTTTCCAACGTTTTGCCATGGCATTGTCATTTTTTTTTTCTTATGTGTTTGAGTTTCCCTTCGGTATTTTTTTTTGTTTTGCAATGCATACAAATTTTCCCAGGAAGAGCTTTATACAGTTAAAATAAAACTTCAAGTGAGTATGCTAATGATGGGATGTACCTTATAATCAACAATCATCATTCATCAACAGATCAATTTGTTTTATTCCATTTCAATCTCAATTTCAATTCTTCATTAACCAAATGTTTTACAACATATAGGTACATGTATAATTAATATATGCTAAATATAAATTACAAAAATACACGATCATGACAAAACAGACAGAAGTATCAAATACACCTATAAATAAATACATATAAATATATTCCAAATAGCAAATATATGTTACAACTCAATTACAAATCAACTTACTGAAAACAGTCATTTCTGATCTTCAGAGCTCTAAATATATATTTTCCTAAGTTGCACAAGTCTTTTACATTAGTAGTGCTTAATAATTGTAAAAGTTTATAAACAGATAGCTTACGCCAATAATGTGGTGTTATCAAACATTCACGCAAATCTGAATATAAAGTACATGATAAAATAAAACACATTTCATCCTCAATATCATCAATACACAATGTACAGGTTCTAATGTTTCTATTTACATTTGAATGTCGTCCCTTCTCTATAGCTAGATTATGTGATGACAATCTAAATTTAACAATACACTTTTTTGTAACTTCGGGTATTGGTTTACATTAATATGTCTGCAAAGTAAAAAAATGATATCATCTATCTACTCTTGTTTGACAATATCCCATAGTCTCTGTTTAATAACCATAATATGATCTTTACATACAGAATTTTTTTGAATACCACAAATCATTTAAACCAAGATGGAACAATTCATTATATTACAGACCCAGCAGTGTTCCCAATTTTTCACTAAGGTAAGGTGGGTGTTTTGAAAAAATCACTTGTAACCGGGTGTTTTTTGTTTTTGTTTTAACATTTCCAACCTTTTTTTTTACTGTTGGTTGGGGTTAATATTGTTTTCAAATTTAATAGAATTGGACTGTTCTTCTGCTATCACTGCTAGCCTTTCATTTCACAAATTAGTTTTGCGGATCTCGGATAGCAGATATGGCTTTTGCATGACAACCTCCTCCAGCATATGCATGGCTTATCGATCCAAGTTTCTGTCCTGTTCCTCGCTCTAGTGCTGTTTTTTTTTGGCACACAGAGCAGTAATATCCTCCTTCTGTGACGTTTAGCTATTTAAAGTCCTGTTCATATTTATCAGCTTGGGAAAAACCCCCCAAATGAGGGGTAAGCTCTCAATGTAATGGCGATCTCTTTTATGAGGGGTACATTTGACGAGATACAAATGAGCACATATTGTTTTTATTTACAGAAACTTTTCCAAAAGAACTATACATCTACTTGGTATTATATGGTCAAAACATGTTTAAGAATTATATATTATTTATCATTTAAAATAATGGGACCCTCTTTTAGAAAATGTGTTCCAAATATAACGATTTTTTTCCCCATATAAGTTAAAAAATCTAAGTTTTTCTCTTTTCTTTTCTCCAACATAATTAACATGACCTCTTGCCAGAGAGACAGTCCCTCATTTAAGGGATATCCCTCATTTGGAGGATTGTTCCCAACCTGTTTCCATTTCAACAATTTCAATACAACTATCCGTTTTAGTTGACTTATTTGGCCTAGAATTTTCCTTATCACCATCGTCATCTGCCTTTCTCTCCCCCGATTAATAAAAGAAAACATTGAAATTTGACGATCCGCCATTTTTGTCAATGAAAACAATCAGCGAGGCGCGATTAGTATATAAATTTTTACGGTGCGGGACCGAAAAAAATCCGAAATTTGAAAAAAAAACGACCACCTCCTAAAATGGAAAGGTGGTCGGCACACCCGGCATAAATGCAGAAAAGAAAACACTATGGCCAGTTATTTTTGTCAAGCTGAGAGGTGTACAAAATGGGGAAATTTGTAATGCCAGTATGGAAACCTGCAATACCATTTATTTAGGCAGTAGTATTATGTTTTCGACAAACCATTAAGAGTGATTGATAAAAAATTGAAGTTGATTTATTTGTATTTGAAAATTTTCATGTGTAATTTGGCAATACGCTAGATTTTTGATTGCAACGATTCAGTTTAAATGATCGAGATGTGAATGGATGTGAAGTTAGCGGCCGGTTCGTTATTCAATATTCGATATTCAATATCCAACCGGCTGCTAGCAGTCGGTTCGATATTCAAATTTAGTTGAAAATCATAAAAAAAAATATAATATTTGATAACATTAAAAGCATGATTTTCATAGTTGAAAGGAGTGAAAAGATACGTAGGAAATCGTTTTATGACCCCTTCAAATTGTCGAATATAAACCCTTATCAATGCTTATGTAAGTTGCATATTTGTCTTTATGTAATATAGATTTTTATCAATAAAACGACATCAGAACTGTAATTTTATATCTAATATTTCTTAAAACAAAAACAAAAACCCATCACTCTAGAAACATTTAAAAATAGAAATAGAAATATATATGGAAAGCCCCCAAATAAGAAATATATAGTGAAAACCTACCCGAGACCGCTTAAATGACGGTGAGACCCCCTGTTCTTTCAATGTCCATAAAATTCAACGAAATCATAGACTCTATATATATAAAAATATAATCAATAGGATTTCCTAGAATAATCTCATCTTCGATATCTACAGAGGGCATAGATTGTCACTTTTCAGCAAAAAAATGTCAAAATTTCAGAACAAAGGGCACATTGCAATGGTGAGAGCCCCCTGATGTCCTAATCAACCTAATATTGAGCAGACCGTTAGTCAATAGGTAGATACAAACGTGACTAAAAGGAATTTGGGTACACTTCCTGTCTTCTATGTTTTCAGAGGGCCCAAAGTGCAATTTGGATATTCAAAATATATAGTGAAAACATACCTGAGACCGCTAAAATGACGGTGAGACCCCTGTTCTTTCAATGTCCATGAAATTCGACGAATTCATAGACTCTGTATATATAAAGATTGTATCAAAAGGATCTCCTAGAATAATGTCATCTTCGATATCTACGGATGGCATAGATTGTCACTTTTCAGCTAAAAATTGTCAAAATTTCAGAACAAAGGGCACAGGGCAATGGTATGAGCCCCCTGATGTCTCAATCTGCCTAATATTAAGCAGACAGTTAGTTAATAGGTAGATACAAACGTGACTAAATGAAATTTGGGTACACTTCCTGTCATCTATGTTGACGGAGGGCCCAAAGTGCCAGTTGGATATTCAAAATATATAGTGAAAACCTACCTGAGACCGCTTAAATGACTTTGAAACCCCCCTGTTCTTTCAATGTCCATAAAATTCGACGAAACCATAAACTCTGTATATATAAAGATTGAATCAAAAGGATTTCCCAGAATAATGTTATTTTCGATATCTACGGAGGGCATAGATTGTCATTTTTCAGCAAACAATTGTCAAAATTTCAGGACAAATGGCTAAGGGCAATGGTATGAGCCCCTGATGTCTCAATCTGCCTAATATTAAGCAAACAGTTAGTTAATAGGTAGATACAAACATGACTAAAAATAATTAGGGTAGACTTCCTGTCTTCTATGTTTACGGAGGGCCCAAAGTGCCAGTTGAATATTAAAAATATATAGTGAAAACCTATCTGCGACCGCTTAAATGACGGTAAGACCCCCCTGTTCTATCAATGTCTATAAAAGTCGACGAAATCATAGACTCTGTATATATAAAGATTATATCAAAAGGATTTCCTAGAATAATCCCATCTTCGATATCTACGGAGGGCAAATATTGTCACTTTTCAACAAAAAATTGTCAAAATTTCAAGACAAAGGGCACAGGGCAATGGTGAGAGCCCCGTGATGTCTCAATCTGCCTAATATTAAGCAGACAGTTAGTTAATAGGTAGATACAAACGTCACTAAAAGGAATCTGGGTCACGTCCTGTCTGCTAAATTCACGGAGGGCCCAAAGTGCCAGTTGGATATTCAAAGTATATAGCGAAAACATACATGAGACCGCTTAAATGACGGTAAGACCCCCTTGTTCTTTCAATGTCCATAAAATTCAACGAAACCATAGACTCTGTATATATAAAGGTTGTAACAAAAGGATTTTTTAGAATAATGTCATCTTCTATATCTAAGGAGGGCACATATTGTCATTTTTCAGCAAAAAATTGTCAAAATTTCAGGACAAAGGGCACAGGGCAATGGTGAGAGCCCCCTGATGTCTGAATCTGCCTGATATTAAGCAGACAGTTATTTAATAGGTAGATACAGACGTGATTAAAAGGAATCTAGGAACACTTTCTGTCTTCTATGCT